AACTGCTATGGAGATGGAGGTGGTGGGAGTGGAGACATTCCCTCTTAGAAGGCTGAGCAGGAGGCCTTTCAGCACCAAATGCCCCCTCCCACAGGCTCCTAGGATGCCGCCTACCTGGAAGGCTGTCACTCGACCCCTGAAATCAAAAATAGCATATGCAAGAACCCAGAGCATGCTGAGGGGCAAGGAAGGCCTCAGTCTCTGTGCTTGTGCAAATCAAACATTCGCCAACACATGAGACTGGGCCAAGGCCACAATGTGCCCCACACATGATGAGAGCCAAGGGAAAGGTAGCGTCCCCACCTGGAAAGGCCCTGCCCTGCACAGCCCACTACCAGTGTCCCCTCCTCCTAGGGGTCTCCTCCAGATCTAAAGCAGACTCTTCTCAATCTCTTCCAGGGATCTGTTGGGTCAACACGGGCTAGCAGAAGAGGAAGAATCTTTCTAGCCATGGAGTTAGAAAAACAAGTCTTGAAAGAAAGTTTCAAACTGAAGATAGGTTCAAGTCAGGACAGTGTGAAAGCAGTGTGCTCTCATTGCCACGGTGCTAGTTGTTCACAACATGTGACACCCATCTGAGGAGGCACCCCAAACTCCCTCTTCTCCCCACACCTCCCAATTTGGACCCAAGGTTGCTTCCAGCTCCCACCACCAGGGTTTCTGATAGGCTGGTTTTGTTTTAGGTGCTGGAAATACAGTGCATAGCAGGACCCACAGTCACCTGGAGTAGCAAGTCAGAGCAGCCACAGATAACAAGCCTTGTGATTTGTCTTTGTATTATTCTTTATTTATTGGTCCTAACAATGTGACCCTTCACCCAGGCCCACTGTTCCTATGTGCACTGGCTTTACAGACTTTCATGCCATGTCTGTCCCTAGTCCCAACAGATTTCTCCTTCCTATTCCTTTTCCATGCTCTGCCTCATTTTCTCAGAATCTGAAGGCATTTTTGTTTGGGTCTGTGTAAAGGGTCTTTGGCAGGAGAACATGCATATGATCTTAAAATAAAGACAACATTCTGACACTAAGGCAATGCACAGGGGGAAAAAATACAGTACTCAGACATCATTGCAAATAAATACCCCATACAGATGAAGTTATCATAAATGTAACATTATTTCTTATGAATCAACACTGTAATAGAAGGTAAAAATACAGGTCCCTACAACTAGGAATAAATGCTCGTTCCAGGAAACAGAACTTTTATTCTTGCTACTTATAATAATTTGTCCTTTATTTTGGAGGAGGAAGGACACTTTCTTCTTCCTCTTCAAGTACCAATTTGATCATTCATACAGCCTCACTCAGCAAATTGGACAGGACACAGACCTGGTTTGCTAAGGAGCTTTAGCCAGTTCTGTTTCCTGAAATTAACAGTGATTAGTTACACCAAGCAAGAGAATATATAATGTCTTTTTCTCACATTTGCAAAGAATACTATGGCTAGCCCTCACCCCCACTGCATGAGGCCGACAGCACTGGCTCCCCTGCCGCCCGGCGGCTCTTCACAAACGTGGCATATTATTCACACCACTTGCTTAGCTTGTCCCATAAAGTCCATTTGGTTCCCAGAGCACGCTCAAGGTTTGTGTTCACTTTCATTTCTCAGCCCCTGAATTTGCAAGGATCTGCACAGTAAAGAATCACTGACTAACAGAATTTTGCACAATTGTTTTCTTTCCCTCAATGAAGATGCCCAGTTTCAGGCATGAAGGTTCAAGCCCATTCACACCTATTAGTCCACACTGGCCTTCAACATTCCCAACTGGCTCTTCACTGTCCACTTTAGAGAATAAACTATGCTGGGACACCTCCCTTAGCTGATGAAGGCACTACTGGCAATGATTACTAGCAAAAAGGTGTTGAAATAGAACACCTTAAAAATTGACTGCAGAATTTTCTAAGTGTACCACAATTTGGCACAACAACCAGAATAACAAAACAATTCCAATTTGGAATTTCACTGGTACAGTTGTATAAAATTCTGTTAATCAGTCATGCTTCACAAGGTCCTAAAGCCCAGAAAATTCTGGAATTTGTAGGTAATACTACTCACTCAATAATTTATCTTTTTGTTTTCAAGTGCCTATAACTGTTTAACCAGAGCAAAGGTCAAGTTTTCTTCTTGTTACATTGAACTATTCCTAAGAATAATAATAATACAATATGAAAAACCCCAGAATCAGAATACCCTGGATTTCTTAATGAACATGGCATTTAAAACCTGTAATTTCAAACATGAACCACAATGCCGTATAATCAAAAAGGTTGCTGAACCACAGCGTGGATATGTTTAGCTGAGCTCTTTGCTGGGTCGAAGCCTTCATCTAAACAGTCCAGAGCTACACACTAGGACACATCTGCGCACGTGCTGATGTCAGATCAACACGTCGGGAGCTAAGATGGAGCACTATAGGACCATGAGATGGACCACGGTATTTGAAACCGTCTCTATGTGAGGGATTAAGGAAGCAAATATAATATTAAAATGTCAAAAGTGCACAGGTTGATCAAATGAAAAAGCAGTATCTGTAACAGGGAGGCCCCAGTGGCAAATGTTTCTAGCGGGTTCCTAAGCAAGCCTAGCAGTCGCTGTTCCAGCAGGTTCTTCAGCGCTTGTACAAGGCCCTTCCAAGTAGCAGTTGGCGGCTTTCTGAACATTAAAGCTTTTTTCCTCTGCCATTAAAAACTTGGGAATGCTATTTTGAAAAGAACTGCAGTGGTATATCCAAAAACGTTTCTAAGTGGACTTTTAGGCTGCCCTTCCTTCCTCTGCGTGGGCCCATGGGAGGGGAGGGGAGGGGCTGCAGTGTGACAGGGCCGGCAGCCGAGTTCTCCCGGCAGCTAATCTACAGCTGAAAATGGGAGAAAACAAGACAGTGTTAGAACCAGTCACCTGTCAGATAAGTAAAGTTCTCACCGAGCTGTGAGGGTGTGGGTGCGTTAGTAGCAACAGACTAGACCTGCATGTGTTAGGGGCGCCTCTAGCCCCGAGTGCCTAATGAAGATACTTTAAAATTATGAAGAGAAGCTGTGTGCCAGGCTCGGCGATGGGGGGTCAGAAGCGGTGTGCAGGGCCAGCAGACAGCCATGCCCCTGGAAGACCTGATTGCACAGGAGGGACAGCTTGACCCTTCTCAAGTGGGAGGGGAATCCAAGACCCAACATCCCAACAGCAAAGCAGCCCAGAGCGGGGAACAGGCATGCCCAACCAGTATCTTTCCATTCCAGCAGTCTGCAAAACTCAAGGTGGTATGTGTAGCACCTAGAGTCTGGTGAGAACTGAGACACACTTGGGAACCAAGGGGAAGAGGAGAGTGGGGACAGATAGCTATGTGAAGGGGCAAAGCAAATTCCCCCTCTGGGACATGGAGAGATGAGGCAAGGAGCCCTTCAGGGAGAGGACCACAGCCTCATGCTCGGTGGCCCCCACTGGGTGACAGGGAGAAAAATACTGAGAGGTTCTGCTTCCATATGTGTCAACTCAGATGGCCTGATGCCAAACCTCTGATGTGACTGCAGCCTCTGGGAACGGGAGAGCCCCACAGCTGCCTCTTCTGCCTGTCACCATCCTGCAACTGCGGAGATTAAGGAGAACCATATTCCACCTCAGTGAATCCTCGAACTAGCCCTGGACCCATGCAAGGTTCCTTTCCCACACAGGGCTGGGTTCAGGCTGGGGGTTTCCAGAGCTTTGTATCTTAGGATCTAACATCTCCTGGAAGGAAGGCCTGATAATGGAACATGGACTGGAGAAATTTGCTCTGAAAGCTGGGGACATTCCAAGGACAAAAGGACAGGCTTCCTCCAAGGACAGGAGTCTGGTCAGGCACTTGGGAAGTTTTTTTCACTGAAAAAACCCCAGGCCTTGGGCCTGCCAATTTGTCACCTCACAGCCCACTAAACCAGTGTGCAGTTCTCAGAAACAGAAGTTGAGGCTGTGAGTTCTGGTCTCGGGGTATGGCCAGGAGTGCTTGTGCCATATGAGTGTGACTGCTGCCTGGCACACATGTATGCCTGGGCTGGAGGACTCAGGGCTCAGGACTGCTCTTTCTCTGGGTTTAGAGGAAAGAATTCTGTACCTCTGTACCAAATAAGATTTGCAGTGAAATGCTGCATGAACTACAAAGTAATTCTCTCCATCATCTGAGGCTATAGGTGGAACCCCGGCTGGAACCTCTAACACTGCTTTCTGAGTGCCAGGACAGCACAACTGCACATAGATACATATGGAGGACATGCAAGTTTCAATTCAGGGTCTGCCCCTTCCTGCGGGAGCCGATGACACCCAGGCCCTGGGAAGCCATATTTTTGTAAGGACTCATGGCTCCAACCCCGCCCTGACCCCTACCCCGACCCTGCCAAAGTGCTGTGAAGGGTGGTCCTGAAGGATGAGAAGCAGACACAAAGCTTGCAGTGTCCAGGTGGAGCAGTACGCCACGTCGGCTAAATCCTTCCCTCTGTGCGTTAGTCATGGTTAAGACCAGCCTAGCACCGCGGTCCCGCTGCTGCCAGGTTAGTTGAGGTGAAGCAGACAGGTGACATGTGGCAAGTTAGCTGTAGTGTGCGGCCCTCTGGCCCTAATCACAGCAAATGTTATACTTCTCGCCACAGAGCACCTGAGTAGTGAGCCCAGCGCCCTCGGTCCTGTCGCTGGCACAGGCGCAGGTGTGACTTACGCTTGGGGTGCTGGGCTTGGCCTTGGAGGTGGTCTTGGTGCGGCCCCGCCGGGTCTGCTCATGGTCCAGCTCAAGCAGCTCTAGTCGCTGGGTCAGTGCGAGCTTCTGCTGGATAGCCATGCGCAGCAACGAGTTGAGTGTCTTCTTCTCATCCTCGGCGGCTGCCAGCTGCCTTTGCATCTCGTCCAGCTGTGTGATGTACTCGTCACACCTGTAGGGACATGAGAAATGAGAGCATGGCTGAAGGACCCAGGCAGGGGACATGGGCTGAAGATGGGAGGACTTCACTGGGGTCCCTCTGCTTATTGGGCTAGAAGAGATCCTATCCCTTAGCAGTTTGGCTTTCTCTGGGAGAGGCTCTATGAAGCCTATTTTCACTAAAGAAAGTGGAGGCTGCCCTTCAAGTCCTCAGGTAATCCAGGGGAAAGACTCAGATTGTTCCTATATCAGTGTTTACACACAGGAAGTACTCAGTAAATCTGCACTGAATGGCCAACCAGAGCCTGAAAAGGGCAAATGTGGACACTGTGAACAACCCATTTTGGCATCTGCTTAACTGTGACATGTGCCCTCACCACCACCACTGGGGTATGGAGCTGGGAGAGAAAAATGCCCAGTCGGGGTCTGTCCCTGAGGGAGCGAGTGGGGCTTGGGTGGAGGGGGCAGTGGGCACACCCACCCACAGCCCAGCTGCAACTCTTCCTTCTCCACCGATCAATGGCCCACAGCGAGTTTTAACCCCTACCCAGCCAGTCATGAGCAGGTTTATGATCTCAGATCCATCTGAGAAGTCAGGTTTTTTAACGAGTTGAAGTGAGACAACATAACTAGTGCTGAGGGACTGAGATCTTTCCCAAGCATTCTGCCCAAGAGAAGAGGCTTCCCTAGAAGCCTGAAATTTTCCTTTTCTTCCAACTCTCCCATCCCACATGCCTAGACTACCTAAGGGCTAGTCCCTTGGTGCCTGCCAGACACTGGCCAGCAGATGGCGATATGCCCCTCAGGACTGCAGAAACACCAGGAAGCTGTGAACTTCCCAGGGCTGTGTCCCTGCTTTGCTTCCCCGCTCCCAACCCTCCTCCCCATTTCTGACCAGCAGGGTCAGACAGGGAACACTGGGACCCCTCATGCGGGGAGAGGGGAGCAGACAATGAGATGATCTTCTTTCTTAACTTACAAACTTCTTGCCAATTTCTCGGGGGCAAACTCATCATTTGTCAGTTATTGACCTCAAATCTAACTTGTGTTAACTGCACACATGCAGCCCAACCTCTGGGAACCCGTCCTCTTAGCCTTTTGCCTTCAGCTCCCTCATCTTACATGTAAAGTGGAGATAAAACTGGGCCCTCCGGATTTTTACAAATTTCAGGAATGACACTTTCCCCAGGGCCAAGCAGTGAAAGGAACAGTAAGGGTTACCTGGTAGCAAACATGGCACGCAGGGAGGAAAAGGTGGCTGCATCCTCCTTGAGGGCTTTGAGTTCATTGCGCAACTTCATCATGGTCTCGGTCACCAACGCTTTTTCATTCTCATACTTGCTCTTCAGGTTGGCGAGGGCCACTTCTGCTGTCTGGGGTCATAGACACACAAAGTAGGTGGGTGAGAGGCGCAAGAGTTGTTCTCCTGTTTCAGCAAGTGCCACAGGCCAAGACCCCAGCATGCCCCTGGCCCCTCAGTGTGCTAGCCTCTCCCAGGGCACCAAGTTGAGGCTCTCTCACATCTTTCCTTCAGTAGCATGACCACTACAGGCTGCAGCCTAAGGCTTGGGCTACTTAGTGGTGACAAAGGCCCTGGGAGGGACACTGGAGAGGATGAGGAGCCCCGCCCACCCTGCCACCCAAGTACAGTGCGCACCTGCTTGTTGGCCTTGAGCACCGTGCGCAGCGTGGTGATCTGCTCCCGCTTGGTGCTGAGCAGTGACTTGAGTTTGAGGATCTCTTCCATGAGTGCCTCTCGGTCCTTGTCCACAGCGGGGCCCAGCTCTTGAGAGGCCAGGCGCTGCCGTGACAATTCTGTGGTACGGTCCACAGCTGCCTGCAGGTGCCTGATCTGGTCACGGATGATGGCAATCAGGTTGTAGATGTTCATGGGTTCCCGGCGTGGGTCACTCAGAGGTGAGGGCAGGGAGGAGCTAGGTGAAGGGTTGCTGTCCCCAGCCCCACCCTCAGCAGCTGCCGGCCCCTTGGGCAGGACAGGTGAGTGGCGCCCACGGGCCTCAGGGCTGCAGCGACCTGCACCAGCTGGGCCCTCTCGGTAGTAGTCCAGCACAACACGGGTGGGAGTCTCATTGTTGCACATGCACACATGGTGGTAGAGACTGGCTAGCTCTTCACTGAAGGTCACCAGCTCATCCTGGGCCACACTCAGGCTGCCCTGTGTCTCACCTGCAACATCACTGACTTTCTTCAGCTCTGTCTGCAGCCGGACCAGCAGCTCACGGTCCTGGCAGCTGGCCTTCTCCAGCAGGGATACCTTCTCAGTGAGCGCCTGACTCTCAGCCTCGTGTCGACCCTTCTCCTCAGCGTGCCAAGCCTCACTGGCCTCGTGTGCACTGCACAGAGCCTTCAGCTGCTCCCGGAGCTCACCAGCCTCTGCCAGGGCCACACGGTACTTACAGGCCAGGATCTCAGGCCCATTGATGTCTACCTCATAGTAGTCACCATCCTCGTGGCTGTCACGCTCTTTCTCACTATCCAAGGCCGTGCGTCGCTCCTTGCCAGCCTGCAGGCGCTGCAGAGCACTCAGGTTCTCTGTGAGGCGGTTCACTTCCTCTTGCTGCTCTGACAGGGCCCCCCTCGCCTGCTCCAGCTGTTTCTGTGTATCCTGCAGTGTTGCCAGCAGGCCCACTTTCTCCCGCTCCATCTGCAAAGGCACAGAAGGGCCTGTTAACAGCTTGCAGGAGTCCACACAACTGGTGAATCCAAGAAAAAACCCAATAGTGACCCCATCTCTCATCTTGCTGGCCTGTCTGTGACACTGTTAGATAGAACAAGGGTCTCAAGGTCTGGGTGATTCTTACTATATACTATTCTTGCTAAATGTTAAAATGTAGTGCCAGTGTTTTATGGACACAGCTGTAACCAGATGAGCTTGACCATGACCCAACGAGATAAATTTAGCCAACTGCAAAAAAAAAATCAACATGTTATTAACCAAACAGCATATATAAGCATGGCTAAGCCTCCCTTCTGGGAGACAGAGCTTTGGATATAAGAATCCTGTCTCCCTGACTACCTAACAACAGCCGCGTCTTTTTCTTGAATAGAATACCTCAAGTGACAAAGCCCTTGAGTTTGGTAACATGTCTAGGTAGGGGTACCATGTGTGAGGTCAGTCTTCTACCACCCAGAAGTTTGGGGGCCACATGGGCCCCTCCTCAGAGATGTGCAGCAAACTGAGGACCTGGGTACAGACCCTGAGATTCTGTTCAGTTCAGGACAGGAAATCCTGATGTGGCATGTCTGCAAGACACAGCAAGGAAGACTACATGTGGGCACTGCAGAGGGACAGTGGTGTCAAAACCCTGAGTGGTGTCAAACTTCAATGTCATAATCAGAAACCTACTTCTCGGGGCATCTTCCACCTATAATGCTACAGGTCCATTTATGTAGCAATAGCAGTTTCAGATAAATGTGAGATAAGGTTCGTGAACTCAACAAAGTGTTGGGGGTGGGTGATGGGGGCATGCTAGGAGTGGAAGTAGGCCCCCCACTCACTTGCATCAGCTGCTGCTTCAGCTTCTGGATTTCAGAAAGGTTGAGCTCGCTGAGGAGGTCAGACACAAGGCTGGGGCAGGGTGGGGCCAGGCCATCCTTGGTGGGCACAGAGGTCTTATTATCCAGTGGCAGCTTGGCCAAGCCGCTGTGCTCAAAGCCATTGGCCAGGGCCTCAGCATCATCACTGAGCTTGAGGCCATCCAGGGAGACGTGCAGGTGGCTGGTGTAGAGAGAGTCATTGATGCTCATGTAATGCGACAGCTCCTTGCGCAGGCTGTTCTTCTGCTCCCGCTCTGTCTTCAAGGTTTCCAATGCCTCCTCTAACTGCCGCTCTGAGATTTCCTTGAGCCGGATGGCATCCTCCAGCTGGCTGTTGAGGTACTCAGTCTCCTCCTCCAGACGCTTAATCTCATGCTTGAGGCCCTCAAACTCCACCTGAGAAAGAAAGGTCGATACCCTTTTAAGCCTGAACCATCAGGAGGAAGCACCAATGTGCTAACTCCATGGCTGCTCAGAGGGTTCCGGGCATGAGGTATAAACACAAAGGACAAGTGTGCATAGTACGACAGCTGGAGCTGAGCTGGAGACTCTGTGGAAATCAAAACAAACACATCGCACTGCAAATTTGTTAAGATGGCTTAATATGTCACCAAGTGTATTTTAAGTTCTATAAAACTACTTTATAGTTGCCTAGATAGTCTAAGATAAAATATGTATCTAGACCATTACTTCTAATGATATTTCAAAACCAAGGAACTAAAGTTCTCAGCGAGGTGGGATGTGCTGCAACCCGTCAGCACCCGTATCCGGAGACACCTGAGTGAGTGGGAGAGGCAGAACACAAAGTCATGCCTGCTGAAACTGTATTTGCAGATGGACAAGGAAAGAGCAGGCAGAAACCTGTGCTGGTTGTAGGGGCTCAAGGTCTACAGGCAATTTTGAAAAATGTTTTTTATTATTCTGTAATATTTATGCAAAAAAATAAGGAACAAACGATTCATAGGCAGGACTAAGCGGATCTCTGTGAGTTGCAGCCCAGAGGAGAACTCCAGGAAGGGGGCTAGACTCCACCACATGCCACCCAGGGCCCAGAGGTAAGGTTTCCCTCTCCTTAGGACTCTTGTGCGTATAAGAGCTGACCAGCAGAGCATCACAGAAGGCCTCTTTTGTGGCCAGATGCAAAGCTCCTGTGCCTGCATTCTCAGGGAGCAATGAGTCCTCTGCTGGTTTTTATAAACACAGAGATTCTGTGTTGGGATAAACACATGGGCCCACACTTTCCTATGCAGAATTTAAACTGGGTAAAAGGTCCCTGCAGGGCTGTAGCTCTTGGAGAGGTATGTGCCAAGGGCAAACACTGAGGGACCTGAGTGCACAGGACCACCTGGGTGTCATATCACAGGTGAAGATGACCCTCCTCATCCCATCCACTGCTGAGATTACTTGAGGGCAGAAGATGACAACTTTGACATCACCACACTGCTCCTCAAGAAAGGCCCACTGTCTTCACCCAGAGGCTCCCCCAAGGCAGGAAGGATGGGAAGGCTGACAGCTCCAGGGTACCACAGGACATGAGGATGTCTTGGGCCTCCTGTCAGCACCTGAAAGGGAACTGAGCTGGACTCCCAGCCTCTAGAGTTTTCTGGTGTCACCTCTTTATTGGCTTCTCTATTTTTCCCCATTTTTGCTGGCCAAGACATGTAGCCAGGCCAAACTGGGTCAGCAAACACTACAGCCAGAGGACTTATTCTCATGGTCATGCAGGAGATGGACTCTACCACCACGGTGATGTGCAACCCTGGGCTCAGGTGTGTGGAAGGAGGCAGGAACACCTGCTGACCATAGAGATGGCAAAGTGAGGGGTTACGTTAGCCATGGTCCAAAGCCAACCCACCTGCCCAGGCCAGTCACTCACCTGGTTTTGCCTGAGCACAGACACCTGCTTCTGCAGACTGATGTTCTCTTCCTCCAGCTCCGAATAGTCTTGCAGCAGGCGGGCCTCCCGGAATTTGTATTCCTTGATGTCATCCCGAAGGCGGCCCCGCTGGAGCTCCACATTCTGGTTGATCTGCCAGGAGAAAGCCGGATGTGACCAGCCTGCCCCAGCTGGCCCCACCACCCCTGGAGCACAGGAAGCTCAGCACAGTCAAGTCAAACACAGCTGCCTGGAGGGGAGCTGGGGCCCCAGGCGGTGTTGGGTGAGGGTGACCAGCGAAGGGTCTCAACTCATTCTGACCCTCAACTCCTCCATGTTATAACATGAATGAACCTTGAAAACAAAGTGAAATAAGCCAGATATAAGAGGTGCCATATTATATGACTGCACACATATGAAATGTCCAGAACAAGAAAATCCAGAGACAAAATGTAGGTAGATCAGTAGTTGCAGGGAGGACTGACAGTGACTGCTAACAGGGTTTCTTTTCTGGAGTGATGAAATGTTCTAAAACTGGTTTGGGATGGTGCATAAATCTGTGACTATACTAAAACCCACTCAAAGTGGGTGAGTTATAAGGATGTGAATTATCTCAATAAAGCTATTAAAAAAAAATAGTTCCTGCCTCCAAGTTGCCTTGAAGGAGTCTGACATCCTGCAAGGAGTGACGAGAGCAGACTTACCTGTGGATTTCTCAACCTGATGTTGCCACGTACCATGAGCAAGAACCTGGGTCCCTTGGTCCCAGACCCTGTGACAATCTGGGGTCATCTTGGCCACTGAAGGATGTTTAGCAGTTCCCTGACTCCTGCCAACCAAATACAGCCCTTTTCCCTGTTATGACAACTAAAACTGTCTCCAGATAGGGCCAATGTCCCTGCGGGCAGAACTGTCCCCTAGACAAACTATCTCCCCTCACTTCCCCTGCTACTCCAAGTGGTATCTTCGAATATCTGCAAAGATCTGGTGCCCTCAGACCACCACCACCCAACCAGGGCCCTGGGCTAGAAACGCCTCACCCATGAGGCCCCACAGCTCGCTCTGTTCTCTCCAATGGTGCTGGGAGTTCTCGTGATCACATCCATGCACACACTTTGCAGACAAGATTCTAAGATTCCACACAGGCACACACAAAACAGTGATGGTGCACTGGTACAATGAAACAGAACCGAAAAGAAAAAAGAAAAGCAAGAGAAGAGGGGAGAGTCATCACGTACAGCTAGCACTCTGACAAAGGCTTACTACCATGATCTCTAGCAAATGGAAGGACACAGCCTCCTCAGTAAGTGACCCAAAGAAGTGCCCGAGAGCTGACGCCAGAGGAAACAGACACTGAGTTACCAACTAGAGAAAAGACCCCCTACCCAAGAAAGTAAAACTCCTGGTAAATAGGAAAAAATAAGCACAATGACAGTGTAAGCAGCAATATGAAACACTCACTGACTCATTTTCATTTATCTGGAGAGGCAGCTAGAAATCCCTAACAAAGTTCTCGTACAACCTTGACGCAGGTCATCATACATTTATAGCCCAACTGTGAAAGTTAATTTTAGTGTCAACTTAGCTAAGTCCCAGCGATCAGATAGTTGGTCAAACACCAGTCTACATGTCACCATGCAGATGAGAATAACACCTAAAATAGCCGATTTTAAATACAGCAAGATGACCCTTCATAGTGTGATGGGCCTCATCCCATCAGACAAAGGCCTTAAAAAAAAAAAAAAAAGACCAGAATTCTCAGGAAGAGAAATTCTGCCTCCAGGTAGCCTTTGGACTTGAGCTACAACATGGACTCTTCCCTGGGTTTCCAGCCAGCTGTCCTGCCATGCAGATTTGGGGCCTGTCAGACTTCACAATCCTTTGAGGTGACTCCTTACAATAAATCTCCCTCTCTACACACATACACAAACCCTCCATCACACACATACCCTCCAGCATATATACAAACATACTCTCCACCTCCATCACATACACCATCACATACTCATTTTCCATCTCTCACAGACACACCCTATCATACACACATGCTCTCCATCACACACACACATACACCCTTATTGGTCTGCTTCTCCAGTGAGCCTTCATTACTAACACAATGACTAATATATCAGAACCATGACCATGTGCTCACCACATCCACTTTGGTAAGGCAGGCTGGGTCCTCCTCACCTGCAGTTCAGCCTACTCTGGCCAGGGACACCTGCTGGAAGCACTTGCCCACTCTCAGCATGGGAGGACATAGGAGATGAGATGAGCCTGGGGAGGCCATGAAATTCCATTTCTGTCCCTGCAAATAGGCTTTATTTAAAACTCAATAACTCCTCTCAAAAAAGCAAGTGACTCTGAGGTGGTCGAAAAGAAGACAGAGATAAGACTAGGTTCCAGGCTGACTGCACAGGCCACACCCGGAAACCTGTGCTGAGCTGAATCCATGCACAGCCTTCCTGCACAGGGGTCGCCTTTGTTCTTTATTGATATTCTTCACACACCAAAAGGTTCACCCACTGAAAGTATACAAATAGTAGTTTTAATTTATTCAGAGTTATGCACCATTATCTAGCTCCAGAACATTTTCAGCACTCTAAAATGAAACTGTATGCAAAGTAGTAACCACCAACCTGCTTTGAGTCTCCATGGATTTGCCTTTTTGGGATGTTCACAGAAATGGATCTGGATGTATGGCATCTGCCTGGCTCAGGGCTTCTTCATTGGCACTGTCTCCTATGGGTACTGCGCCTGGTGCTTGACTACCCCAAGAGGCTTCCCCCATTCCTTCTCTGCTGAGCACCGACTATGCTGAGGAGTTCACTGAGGCTTCCTAAAGTTGCCCATGGATGACACACCAAGGAAGGCTCTGAGCAGATGAGGAAGGTGCTGTGCTGCAGTCAGGCTAGGAGTCTGCACTGCAGAGGAGCCAGGACATCGTGTCGCAGAAGCCCCATCCCTGCAGTACAGGAAGGGTGCACCGCCTGCGCAGGAGCACCCCACAGCTGGTCTGTGCTTTCCCTCAGAAAGAGGCTACCACCTAGCCTCAGTCCTGCCAGAGCCATAGAGTCTACACAGGAAGGTGACCACCAAGGCAGAGACTTGAGCGATGAAGCCACAAGACAAGGAAAACCAAGGGCTGCCAACCACCAGAAGCTAGAGGGGCTCCACGGGGAGCACAGCTCTGCCAATACCTTCAATTCAGATATAAGAAATCTAACAGAATAAATTTCTGTCTTCTAAGCCAATGGTCTGTGGCAATTTGTCATGGTGGCCCAAGAAGAGAAATACAGGTTGTATCAGGAAAAGAGGTGCTGCTGTAACAGATACTTGAAAATGCAGAAGTGGCCATTGGAGTTACATAGCCAGAAGCTGGGAAAGTTTTGAGGAGCATGACAGAATAAAGCCAGACTGCCTTGAGACTGTTGTCAGAAACAAGAAACAATCATTTCATGTGATCCTTGTAAAGTGAAAAGAAGAGAGGCACAGAGAAAGCTTCCGTTGTCTTAGGAAGTGCATGTAGCATCATGAGAGAACACTGGGAGAGGTGTAAACACCAGGTAAAGGTGCTCCTTAGACGAGGAAAGGCTGTCGTCATTGTAAAGCAGCAGAAAATCTGGTTGAGTTGTGTGCTTGTGCTGGGTGGAGAGCAGAACTAGTATACAAGGAACATGGACACTTCACTAAGGAGATTTTAATTAGAGTGATGAAAGTGCAGCCTGGTTTCTCCTTGCTGCTTATAATAAAATGTGAAAGAAGAGAGAAAATGAGGAAAGAACCGGTAAGCAAAACAACAACAACAACAACAAACCCCAGAACTTGAAGATTTGGAAAATTCTCAGCTTGTCCATACTGCGAAAGATGAGAAAAGAGTGTTCTGGAGACAGCACCAAGCGTGTTGCTCCCAGTCAACCAGCTGGCTCAGAGGCCAGCAGGCCATGGCATCCTGAGTTCCAGAAGGCAAAACACCAAGCCACAACCATTATTCTCAGACCTTGAAATCCAGTGTGACTTCCTCCATTGGGACAGCACTTGCTGGGACCTGCATGCCCTTTATTCCTTCTCTTCTGCCTGTCCCACCACTGTTTTCTGGAAGCAGATATTCTGCACAAAGAGCAATTTTGTCCCAGGATGGACCATCCCTAGAGTCTCGCCATCCCTGATTTAGAGGATTTAGATGAGATCTTAGAGTTGATGCTGGAACAGGTTAGGGCTTTGAGAGATTTTATGATGGGGTATATTTTGCATGTAGGAAGGATATGAATTGTGGGGGCCAGGGGATAGACTGTTTACAGGTTTAACTGTGTTGCCCCAAAAGATAAGCTAATTGCCAGAATCTGTGAATATTATAGATATAATCAAGTTAAGATGAGGTCATAGGAGATTAGGGCAGGCCAATGACTAGTGTCCTTATAAGGGAGAGTTGGAAATACAGACACCCAGGGAGAAGGCCATGAAAAGACGGATACAGAGACTGGGGTGGCATATCTACAGCAGCGGTCTCCAACCTTTCTGGCACCAGGAACCGGTGCTCACATGAGAATCTAATGCCTGATGATCTGAGATGGAGCTGAGGCAGTGATGCTAGCACCAGAGAGCAGCTGCAAATACAGATGAAGCTTCGCTCACTTGCCTGCCACTCGCCTCCTGCTGTGTGGCCCAGTTCCTAACAGTCCATGGGTTGGTACCCAGTATGTGGCCCAAGGGTTAGAGACCCCTGATCCAGAACACAAGGAGAGCTGGCAGGAGCTGGCAGAGGCATGGGATGGACTCTTCTACGAACCCTGCCGACACCTTGAAATGGGGCTTCTGACCTCTTGAACTGTGAGAGAATAAATTTGTTGTCTTAAGCCCCCAGTTTGCAGTAATTTGTTCTAGCAGCGACAGGAAATGAACACAAATTTTTGTTTTTGCCACCCTGGAAATTGGAATTAGAGCACCTGAATGGGGAGTGTGGGCCGTTACACTGGGGTAAGCGATCAGAGGAGACCCCAGCACCGTCAGCACCATGTCAGGCAGCCCTCCTCTCATGGATAGGGTGGTGTGGTTGCCCCAGTGAAAGCTGCTAACGAGCAGGGGATGTGACCCCAGACAGTCCTGCTTGATGCCTCTTGCCCTCGAAGGGTAGCTTTGCCCACTTGGCCTGTGCGTTCTCAAAGAGCCATCAGCCATTTTTTCTCACCAACACATTGTCACCAAATGGACCCACATCTGGAGGGGCAGAAGGAACCAGCTGTGATGAATGGAACCAGAATGGATCAGGCAGGAGTGGCGCTGAGGGGACAAGTGAGCTGCTGAGAGAACACTAAAGACAGAGAGGGGCCTGCATAGTTGCCAAACCTCAGCGTACCTCTCAGGGCTTCTTCTCTATTCTGAAGATGGTGATGAAGAAATCTATTGGGGAAACTGTGGCCTTTTCATGCATCCATCCGATGCACCACCCTAACCTGCTGCAGGCCACACAGCCGGCCATAACTAGCTAATGTGCCTAACTAGTTTTCTCACCTCTAGTCAGCCGAGGCATACTCACACAATTGGCTTTGTTCTCACATCTCATATTTCTTCTCCCCTGCTTAAATGCTGCTGGAACTGTTCACTGGCTCCCACTGCTATAGAGGGGCCATGAGCCCCTCGCATGACCAAGCCCTTGCTCTGCCACTTCCTGTCACCCTGAACAGAGCCTCCCTACTTTCTGTGAATGCACAAGTGAGCACTTACTCATCCCTCTGCCAGAAAGGTGTAGCTAAGTACTCCCTCCTTCCTTGCTAAGTCACAGCACTTGGCATTCAAGAGGTGCCCAAAGATGGGCAGTGTGATCTGACATGGCCAACTGGCAGAGTAGAAGCCAAGGGGTAGGTCTAAAACCCACCAGCTCTCTACAGGTCTCTGCGCCAGGACTGACAGACCTAGAAGGCCCTTTAAGTTGTGGGAAGACAAAGTTGGGACAGCTTTGCCTGTGGCCGGGGCAGACTCGACTTTCCCAACTCAGGACTTGGGCAGACACACCTGTGGCAGGGCCTGTGCAAGTCCCCAGGGCCCCAAAAGTCCTATCCCACCTTGGTTCATCACCAGGCCCAAGGGTGGGTACTGTAGACAGTGATGTGAGGCACATCCAAGTCACAAGCTGGCCCAGGACACCACGAAGCAAGGGAGTGCACTGTCTACTGACACTGCACGACACATAGGCCGGCACTTTGGTTCCCTTAGCAACTGAGGTTCCATCCCATACCATAGGTATGGGCATCTCTGCCCAACACACGGCCCAAATCCATGGGCTCAAACAAGCTCCAATTGGTCACCATGGGGGTGTGGTTTTCTCCCAGGGAAACTCTTTCTCGCAACTGAGCCTGTGGATATCAGCCCTGATGGAGAAAGAAGGTAGGTGAGTGGGGTACCATCTAAGCATCCCTTCCAAGGGAACCCCTGACCTCAGCTTACTTGTTGGTAAAAGGATGTGGGTACAGTGGCCTCAGAGTCCCAGCAGAC